GGCATCCCGGACTGCAAAGATGGAAGTGACGAGGCTGGGTGGTATTGCAAAAACCGTCTCTGCTCCACTCAGGACAGAGACGAAGAGTTTGCAAGGAAGGCCTACTTCCGTTGCGATGGAGGGCGATGTGTGCACAACGTAGCCTTCTGCAATGGAACGAAGGAGTGCCGAGATGGCTCCGAYGAAAACAATTGCCAATCCAARACTTGTCCGGAGGGATTCAGGAAGTGCAAGGACGGTCGGACTTGCMGTGCTGCAGACCTATTCTGYGACGSCAAGCGCGACTGCCCGGACGGATCTGACGAAAGCCTCCAAACATGCGGGTGTCAGGACTTGAACCAGAGGCTCTGTGCTGACAATAAGACCTGTGTTGCCAGACTGAAGTTCTGCGATGGAGTACAGGATTGCCCCGACGGGTCAGATGAAAATAGGGAATTTGCTGGGTCAGACTGCATAGATGTGAAGTGCAATGCCAGCAACGGCGAGTACCAGTGTCCAACGGGACCACTGTCGTTCTCGTGTCTTTCCAGAACCGATTTTTGCAATGGCTGGAATTATTGTGCGGACGGCTCAGATGAGGATATAGCCAACTGCAGGAAGCTCCCATGCAGCAGTGATACGTTCCGATGTAAGGACGGCAGTTCTTGCGTAGGCCCAAATCAACAGTGCGACGGGCGTTATGATTGTCGAGACAGGTCTGATGAGAATTCGAGCTTGTGCAAGACTTTTGACTGCAGCAGCACCGATAGAGTGAAGTGTCCGAGCGGGGTGGGATGCATGGACTCGAGAGAGAAGCTTTGCGATGGAAAACGAGACTGCCTGGATGGCAGCGATGAGACACGCGCTGCTTGTGCAAGCATTACCGGGTGCAATGCTGAACAAGTGCTGTGCAAATCTCCCCGGAAATGCAGGCCAGGTGTTTACTGCGATGGCATATATGACTGTAGAGATGGGGCTGATGAGGACCCCAGCTACTGCAAGAACTACACGTGCCCGAGTGAAACGTGGCGCTGCAAGAACGACATTCAATGCATTGGAACTCCGTCGGTGTGCGATGGGAAGAACCATTGCAAGGATGGTTCAGATGAGGAGGCTGGTTTCTGCCAGTCTTACAACTGCACATCGCTTGAAGGAACAGGCTCATCCCGCTTCAAGTGCCCAACGAATGACAAGAAGTGTATCAGCGGAGCACTGTGTAATGGAGTCGTTGACTGTGCAGATGGTAGTGACGAGAGTGCCACCTTCTGCCAGACGTACAACTGCCCTGCGGGTCAGTGGAAGTGTACAAAGACTCCGCAGTGCATCGGTGTTGACGATGTGTGTGATGCAAATGCGGACTGCAAAGATGGCACTGATGAGGGTGCGGAATTTTGTAAGACTTGGAAATGTGCTCCGGGCTACTGGAAGTGCAAGGATGGGAGCAAGTGCATCTATGGACGCAATTTCCTCTGTGATGGGTACTCCAATTGTGACGATGGCTCTGATGAGTCTGTTGAAGTCTGCTCGACTATCAGATGTGAGGACTTCGGCAATCAGAGATGCCCTGACAATCCGAACAGATGCTGTTCATGAGAGGCAGAGATGACAGGGCACAAGTGTAGTCTGTTGAGGTAATGTGCTCTGCGGTAGAGTGTGTTTCCATTTTTCTCTCCCTTTTCAGTTAGAGTCACACTCAAGTTGCGGCTCAACAGGGTCTTCTTTCCCCGCGGATTCTTCCAAGCCCGTTACCTTGGCTGCGGCGTCCCAGGGTTGTAGATAGGGACGGTGCCACTGGGAATCTCGTTAATCCATTAGGAAAAGTTGGCCGATTGAGAGTGTGTGTGTGTGTGTGTGTGTGTGTGTGTGTGAGAGAGAGA